CACATATGCCATTGAGATCGGCTCCTTACAATGTCAACCAGTGTATCCAACCAGACGTGTCCATCTTCCTTCGGGCCCCAGCCCAGAAGTAAATCATCGTTTGGCCCCACTCTTCTTCCATCCACACTCCCGGTTCACAAACAACCCACATCGCTGGAGTCGGTGGGCTGGTATGCGCAACACCTGTCGCAGCCATCGCAGCTTGGTGCATGTTATAACCGGCTTTTCCTGCACCAGTTACGTGATGGCGAACATGCTCATTTCTCAAGTGGTCTTCTCACCACATGACCTAAGCTGCGAATGTAACGATGATCGAACGTTACTAGCCTCTTTACATCCGTCGCCTTGAAGGGCCAGGTACTAGTAGTACTGTGTAGCCCAGTTTGTGGTATAATGTCTCCGTAGCAGCATCAGAACTGCAGTCGGTGGGAACATACGCGGTAACCGTAAACAAACAGCGTCTTGTACTAATTCGTGAATCAAACTTAATTGACGTAGTCAACTGGGCTGCAGACAAACGCCTGCTCACAGGAATTTAATCATCTAACGATGCTTCAGCCTTGGAGCTGTGTACGATACCTACCCCAGTTTGACCCGTGAGTGCTGCATCAGGGTCTCCGGATACGTGCAACCAATAGCGAGAGAACAAACCGGGTGCAGTTAGTTCAACAACCTCATCAGGGTCATTGATCCGAGTTTCGGACACACAACAAACGTCAATACCCAGTGTGTCCGTCCAACGTGAGTGCGAGTGCAGCCTGCTGACCTGTTTGTCTTAGAGTGCGGACGTTGAACGCCACCAGGGAAACGGGACAACGTGGCCTTATAAGGGACGGTTGCAGATAGGCGTCCAGTGGGTGTTGCGCGAAGTTGGCTGCAGATGCGGTGACTCCAGTGACACTTCGGTTGCTAGCAATTAAGCTGGCAATTACATAAAGGCAAATAATGGGGGTCGGGATGGGAGTACTAGAAGCAGGTGAAAAAGAGAGGGCGTGCCAGCAGTAACATGTTTTCTCTTATCCGCCCTGTTGTATGCAGCAGATAAGGCGACCCTTGATAATCTACGCGACGGTCAATGCAGGACATAGTTAGAGTTTGGATTGGATTGGACTGGATTCCGGTGAACAGCCGTTTATGTGCAGCTCGTTTGACGACATCAGCTATGGTGGATTCACGTTGCAATACAAAGCGTTGTTTGTTTGTGTTTTCCGTTTATGCTCCCATCGACTGCAGTTCTAATGCTGTCAAGGACACATTCTATAACGAACTCAACGCGCTGCTACACAGTGCTACTGATTTCAGATATATATGGTAACTTGCAGGGGATATGAATCGCACAAGTAGGGCGTCCTGAGCTCTTCAGAATCTCAGCTTGGTGGTAATTGTGAGCTTAACTCCGAACGTACTGATAACGGTGAGCGTCTGCTGCGAATGTGTGCGGAGCACCAGTTGTTTCTTAGTAGCACTGTTTTTAGGACACGGCGCCGGAAGTGCCACTTGGCGTCTTGTTGTAGCTGGCTAGCGATGGGACCCAAATTGACCACACAGCCACAAGTATACAGATGACGTGGTTCCATCCTGGATTGCCGCTCGTTACTGGAGTACCTGTGTACGACTCTTGAGCAGGCCTTGGTACGCTGTCGTTTCTCCATGAAATTTACCGGGGAGGCGCACAAGCGTCCCCGTCGGTGAACCTGTTTGGAAGCTAGAAGGCACTTCCCGGCTGGCTCTGAACACAATGTGACTAGACGGGCTATTAGGCAATGAACTAAAGCAGAGCCTACGTGCTGACAAGGAAGGCGTGGTGGACCAGTTGGGCTAAGAAATCGAGGAGGTAGGAGCAGTAGGCAATTACCTTAAGCTTTTCCAGCTAATTCCACACCACTGGTCCCAGAAAACTAGGCGTCAGTGAGACAATCAGCGCGCGAGTGCGCGTTGGGCGGAACACTCAAGATCAGTTCAGCTGGCCCCCTGCTTCCGGACCTCTTTTAATCAGGTGATGCAGGGACGAGCCATGGGCGGTTAGTTTAGAGCCTCCGTCTGAGGCCGATGTCCGAAACGCGATCACAGCCCTTAATCGTTTTCGTGCTGCTGGCCCTGATTCCCTCCCATCTGCACTATTTAAGAATGGAGGTAGAGTTCTCGGCAAAGCACTGACCTCCCTGTTCCAACGTATCTTGAAGGAAGAGGGTTTCCCGGCTAACTGGAGCGAGTCGATTATGGTGGCAATATACAAGAAAAGGACAGTCGCACAGACTGTTCTAACCACAGGCTATTAGCCTAACGCCAGTTGTGACAAAATTACTGGCCTCGATTCACGTTCGTCGTCTCACTGCGAAACGGGAATCTCGGATTAGGGAAGAGCAAGCCTGTTTCCGCCCAGGACGTGGCCGTATAGACCATATATTCACTTTGCGGCAGGTGCTAGAGCAGCTGCCACGCATACAGCAGACCGACAATAGCTGTGTTCCTCTGATTTCAAGAGTGCGTTCGATTCAGTCGATCGATCGATTCTGTTCGAAATACTTGCGCGGAAAGGTGTTCCCACGAAATATGTGAACATCCTTCGTGCTCTATACTCGAACACTACAGGCCGCGTCAGGGTCTACGGTGATTTGTCGGATAGCTTTCCGACCACAAGTGGCGTTCGTCAGGGTTATCCGATTTCCCATTTTTGTTCAATTTCGTCGTGGATTCTATCATGGAGTGTTCCCTTGCGGAATCTCACGATGTAGGCGTTGAAGTGCTGCCTGATGAAAGGTTAGTTGATCTAGATTATGCGGACGATATCGTCTTGCTTTTCGACGATGTTGCGGCGGCACAATCAACCCTGAATAGCCTGTCCAGAGTGGTCCCATTATTTGGTATGCACTTCGCACCTTCAAAGTGCAAAGTGTTGCTGCAGGACCACCAGCCACTTGATGACCCCTTGACGCTTGCTAACGAGGAACTCGAGGTGGTTGATCAATTCACTTATCTTGGCAGCTGCATCAGCAATGATGGGCGCATAGAAACTGACGTCAGCTCACGCATTGCAAAGGCCAGAGCTGCGTTCTTGAACCTGCGGCATCTTTGGCGACAGAAGGGAGTTTCCCTCAGTCTGAAAGGCCGTGTATACAAGGCCACAGTGAGGGCCGTTCTGCTCTATGGTAGTGAGACTTGGCCCCTTCGGTCTGAAGATCTGAGGCGCCTTCAAGTCTTTGATCATCGTTGTCTGCGAAGCATTGCTGGTGTCGGATGGCACCAGCGTGTCCGCAACGATGATGTGCGTAGGCGAGTACTAGGTGGTGATAATCATGCTAGCTCCCTAGAACAACAGATAGCACTGAATAAGTTGCGTTGGCTCGGGCACATGCCGTGTATGCCTGGTCACCGCCTCCCTAGGAGGGCCTTGTTTAGTCTGCCAGGTGTAGGATGGCGCAAGGCTCGAGGTAGACAGAAGTTGACTTGGCAGCGGGAAATGAAGTCACTGACGACCAAACTGGGTGCTGTCTGTTCGTCTCGCCTTCCGGGCTGGAGTCCACGTGACTCGCCTTGTGCTTTCCTCGAGACTTTACAGGACGTGGCTCACAGCCTATATTATTGGCTCGTCTGCTGCCTTCTCCTAATCGGATTGCCTGTTTAAAGTGTGTTTGGTGCTGAGTTATCTGCGGGGTAATGGCTGATTATGACGTGGGGCGGTGAAAGCCGAGGGAAGCTGTCTCGCTGATGCTGCGTTTTCTTTGCGCGATGGCCAGCTGTTTGTGACGGTATGTTGTCTACACAAGGTGTAGATGCCTTGACCCTGAATGTTTGCTTAGGGCATTAAGATTTTCTGGTAAGTGCCCCTTCTTTATTTCATAGGTCCTCATGGTTGTATGGCAGCGATGCATCAGTTCAAATGACTTATGTACTGCTGTTGATGATGATGATGAGAGTTTGGAGAAATTGTCATAGTTGTATGTAGGTTGAGATATTGCCAGTGAGCCTAGATCTATACAGGAGTACGAATGGGGTCCTCAAACAAAATCTCTCCGAATGGCAGCGGAGAAGTGGCATTGATTTACTTTTACAATAATGGACTCCTTCTTATTTGAAACCGCCAACTTGGATAGACCAGGAGATTGTGTTTGTCTGACCTCCAACCATTGACCAACCTGGTAAGAGTAGCTCTCAGGGGTATCGGGGGCACCACTCATTATAGGTCAATGGGTCAAAGAGGCACGCAAACCGTCTGGTTGCGGCGGATTTGTGGTTTTTGTCTGGTGATAACCAACGCCTGTATGCGCCATCACCGGAGTCCACCTAGTCAACTGTCACGGTAGTTTTGACTGCCTTAGCAAACTTGTTTGCTTGTTGCGGGGGATATGGTATCACTTGACTAGGTCAGAAATTCTATGCTCTCTAGTGAGTCCATTCATTGAAATCCTACTGGGTCAAACTTTAGTAGTTTTCCGCATTGTTTTACGATTCGTTACAGCTATCTTCTCTAACTTCAGAACTTTCTTTGCGGGGTTTGCTCACACCCGCCTCTGTCATAATTCGTCACGGGAGATCATACCAAATCAGTTCACCTTCATTTTGGAATCCCTTTTGTCAGCTTTTCGCACAACAGTTGAAGTGCGTCATGACTGCACTGCGGTCCTTTTCTTTTTGACTATGTGATTGGTGAATGTACCTAGATCTGTTCGAGTCGGTCTAGCATCTGTGCAGACCCCTTAAGCATGCAAACTACCGCTACACAATTGCACAGACACACATTAATACACAGTGCCATCGGCCGATCACTCGGAGTACCCTGCCAATTCACCTATGTAGTCAGCTGTATCAATTCTGTAGTTAATTACTCAAATGGACGCCATGTGTATCGCGTTACCTACCAAAACCTCAATCGTCTGGATCCGGTCCTTTTTACTAGATAGCTGCGAAACGCGCCCACTTGCGCGTCGAATATATTAAGGGGTTGTGTCTGCTTAACGCTTATTCACATTTGTCATAAACCCACCGCGTGTACAGTTCAAATGCATGCAGTGTATTATCTAACGGTCAGGCCTGCTGGCAACGAACTGGGTCGCTTGCTGGCTGGTGATGTGGCGTTCATTTTACCTTTGTCAACGTTGCTCTGCGGTGAGCGTTGTCTGACACCACTGAGTTTGGTTGTATGAAGCCGCAGTGCAAGCCCCTCGATAACGCGACGATAATACACGCGACAGACGATAAAATACTTTATCTGGCTCGCACTTGTCTTCCTGTACGGAGATTCACCGTTGAACTGATCTTTCTGACATGGCTTCGGTTCCCAAATCGTAGTTAACTCACCGGAAACGCAGAAACTGGCCGTGTCTGAATGATAATATGTGTACTGCAGTTACAAACGTTCTTCAAGCATTTTCGCTTAAGCCATGCTATCAAATTAGCCATATAGCTGTCAATACCTTATTTGTTCTTTGATGTATCCGACCACTCGTTTGCTTTACTTTATTTTCTCTAGGCAGAATAAAAGCTATTCAACTGGAATATTCCGCAGCCCACGATCACTTGATATCAGCTCTTCGGAAGGCCCCCCAGAGTACAGCAGTTGGCTTCAAACAGGCCTTGCACAAACTCAACACGGTGGTCGAACTACTTCTGGGGGATCAACCGGATCGTTCGATTTTTCGACAGCCGACTTTTAAAGCTGCTCTTCACCCCTACTTTCAGCTGACTCAGTCAATTCATGCTGGTGACCTGGGTCGATTTAACGAAGTGTTGCGCGTCCATGGTGCGCAGTTCTGTGCGGACAAGACATACACCCTGATCCTTCGTCTTCGCCACAGCGTCATCAAGACCGGTGTTCGTCGAATTTCACTGAGCTACTCTCGCATATCTCTGACGAGTATTGCAGAGAAACTGCAACTTGGTAATGCAAAAGACGCAGAGTATATTGTCGCAAAGGTAAAGTCTCATTGTGTTTACACGAGTCATTACTCATCTCGGAAGATGCTCAACGTTTGCTTCCCCTCAGTGGATTTGTGACTGATACTGTTTAGTTCAAGTTCACAGTCATTATTTGAGTACTATATCCAGGTACCTTCACTCTCATTTCTCCCATTGTACTAAGGCCGGGCAAAAGTAAGAGAACGGAAAACATGAAAATCGAACGAAAAAATACAAATTGGTCAGATTAGAGGTGAAAGAAGCTTGAGTCATGTGATAAATTCCTCATATAAGTGTGCATAATTCCACTGTGGACAAGTTATTCGTATCAGCGAACCTTACAGCGTTGTTGTTTGTCAAAGTTACCTGTTCCACCTAGTTGTTTGCATCCATAGTGTAACGACGGAACAACGCGGAACGTATGCACACAATGCCACTTCGTTATAAATCCATACTATACGTACAGTCTGGACAAAGGACGGTTGGAGTAAATTCTCTAATGCAATGCAGTATCTGTACTTCTACAGAGTAGAATATGGTACAAAACAAAACTCGCGACTAGTTTAACAACTTGCGGGCAACTGGTGAAAACAGCCACTCTTAACCGTAATGTAGCAGTTTGTAGAGGCTGGGACCTTGAGATATAAGATGCATGCGACTGAGGCAAAGGAATAACGACACTTATTTGGGAATGTGAAGGTCAAAAGCGCTAAAAGCGTGTTATTAATTCTAAACGTAGAACTTAATGGGTACTGAGTCACCAAGGGGTATTAATCTGCCAGGTGTAAGGAATTAAACTTCTCTCGGCATTACACATGGGACGCAAATCATCAACCTGAAATCTATCTATTGTTTCGGAATTTTTTCTAACGGGCGTCACATTCAGCTTAGTTTACTCAGACAGCTGCATACTAAATGCGGCTTTGCTTTGAGTCAGGATGCTAACACCCATATTCGCCATTACTTTTCCCGAAGAGAAGAGACCATCGCGACGGCATTGGACATTAACCTGATGCGATTATTTCTGTGTGCCTCAGCGATTCATTAGGCTATGTTAAGTGTGTTTTTTGCGTCTTCAGAGTCACTCATACCAGATTGGTCAGTGATTATCGTCCGGACAAACTCATTCTCCTTGTCTTCCAGGTTGGGGTTTGGAGTTAGGGGGACCCCTTACTCCATAGAACGGACTCTGTATCCCAGTGACAAAACCCCAATGCCTTGCGGTCAGGTTTTTGAACCGAAGGCTTTGGTTGAGAACCCTTATCCTTCTTTTGTCTGTGCCTGGACAATCTGGCGGTATTCCGCACACGCATTACAACGCAATAACTTTCTCTTCAAACAATTTTTGATGGTGACCCGGTAGCCAAAGGAGTAGATGTTCCGGCTACTATTCCATTGGTCGTGGATTCGAGGTCTACTATCTCTTCCGTCGCAACAAGACTGGAACTTAACGTGGTGCGACTTTTTTCGTGCCTCTTTGACCTATTGAGTTATACTAGGTGGAGCCCCTGATCCCCGTAAAAGCTACTCTTACCAGGTTGATCAATGGTTGGAGGTCAGACAAACTCATTCTCCTGGTCTTTCCAAATTGGGGGTTTGAAATAAGATGTCGTCCATTACTGTAAAACTAAATCAACGCCACTTCCCTGCTGTCTTGCAGACAGATTTTGCTTGAGGACCCCAATCGTCTTCCTGTCTAGATCTGGGCTCCCTGGCAATATCTCAGCCCACATACAACCATGACAATTTCTCCAAACTCTAACTATGTCCTGCATTGGCCGTCGCGTAGACTATCAAGGGTCGCCTTATCTGCTGCATACAACAGGGCGGATAAGAGAAAACATGCTACTGCTGGCACTTCCTTTCTTTTTCACCTGCTTCTAGTACTCCCATCCCGACCCCATTATTTGCCTTTATGTAATTCCTAGCTTGATTGCTAGCAACCGAAGTGCCACTGGAGTCACCGCATCTGCAGCCAACTTCGCGCAACACCCACTGGACGCCTATCTGCAACCGTCCTTTATAAGGCCACGTTGTCCTGTTTCCCTGGTAGCGTTCAACGTCCGCACTCTAAGACAAACACGTCAGCAGGCTGCACTCGCACTCACGTTGGACGGACACACTGTGTATTGATGTTTGTTGTGTGTCCGAAACTAATGACCCTAATGAGGTTGTTGAACTAACTGCACCCGGCTTGTTCTCTCGCTATTGGTTGCACGTATCCGGAGACCCTGATGCAGCACTCACGGGTCAAACTGGGGTAGGTATCATACACAGCTCCAAGGCTGAGGCATCGTTGGTTGATTAGATTCCTGTGAGCAGGCGTTTGTCTGCAGCCCAGTTGACTACGTCAATTAAGTTTGATTCACGAATTAGTACAAGACGCTGTTTGTTTACGGTTACCGCGTATGTTCCCACCGACTGCAGTTCTGATGCTGCCAGTGACATTCTATCACGAACTGAACGCTGTACTTCGCAGTGCTACTAATTCAGATATCGTGGTACTAGCAAGGGATCTGAATTCCTCAGAAGCTCAGCTAGTGGATAATTATGGGCTCAACTTCAAGCGTCTGTTGCATCTGGTGTGCGGAGCACAAGTTGTTTCTGATTAGCACGGCTTTGAGATGTAGCGGGCGCCGAAGTGCCACTTAGCGTCTTCCTGTAGCTGGCCAGCGATGGACTCAGTTTGACCACCTTGTCATAACTTACAGGTGACGTGATTCCATGCTGGATTGCCGCTCTTACTAGAATACCTGCGTCGACTCTGATCATGCCTCAATACACTATCCTTTTTCATGGACTTTACCAGGAGGCGTACGCAGCGTCTCCTCGGATTGGCAACTGAGAAGTTGTCTCAGCTCTCGGTCAGGCAAGCCTATCAAGACGAACTGAGTACCGAACTTTTGCAGTCTTATCCTAATGACACGGAGCTTCAGTGGAATAGGATTTCGGCAGTTATACACGACGCACTAGTATCTGCTTGCAGCACTATCAATCGTCAACGCACCAGTCATGGATATCTGAAAGGTCGGTGAACCTGTTGGAATGCAGAAGAAAATTTCCAGCTGGCTCTTAACACAATGTAACCAGATGGACGGTTAGGCTTGCAATAAAGTGGATTCTGCGTGCTGACAAGGAAGCCTGGTGAACCAGTCGCGCTCAAGAAATGGAGGAGGAGGAGCAGTAGCCACGACCGTAAGCTCTTCAACTTGATCCGCACCACTATTCCCAGAAAACCAGACATCAGGAAGACAATCAGAGACAGCGTGGGTGTTCTGATTCACAATAATGAGCGCCTTATGGCTCGTTGGGCGGAACACTTTCAAGGTCAGTTCGATAGGCCCCTGCTTCTGGACCTCTTCCTACTCAGATGATGCGGGATGAACCATGACCGCTTTGTTTAGAGGCTCCATCAGAGGTTGGGGTCCGCGACACGGTCACAGCCGGTAGTGACAAAATTACTGGATTGAATTCTCGTTTGTCGCCTCACTGCGGAACGAGATTCCCGAATAAGGGAAGAGCAAGCAGGTTTCCGCCCTGGACAGGGGAGTATCGACCATATATGCACTCTACGGCAGTTCCCATAGCAGCGCTACGCATGCCGCAGACCGACAGTAGCTGCATTCCTTGACTTCAAGATTACGTTCGATTCTGTCCATCGATGCATTTTGTTCGAACTGCTTGCGCGTATAGTGTTCCCACGGAATATGTGAGCATCTTTGGTTCTCTCTACTCGAACACTGGAAGCTGCGTTAAGCCTATGGTGACCTGTCCGATAGCTTTGTGACCACAAGTGATGTTCGTCAGAGTTATCCGATTTCTCGAATTTTGTTCAATTTCATCGGGGACTCCATCATGATGTGTTCTCTCACGAAATCTCACGATGTAAGGCTCGAGGTCTTGCTTGGTGTAAGGCTAGTTGATCTTGATTTTGCGGACGATATCGTCTTGTTGTTTAACGATGTCGCGGCCTTGCAGTCAACACTGTATAGACTCTCTATATTGGTCTCATTATTTGGTACCATCTTCGCACCTTCGAAGTGCAATGTGTTGCTGCAGAACCACCAGCCAATTGATGACCATTTGACCCTTGATAACGAGGAACTCGAGGTAGTTTATGACTTTACTTTACTTGACAGGTGCGTCAGCAACGATGGGCGCGTAGAAACTGAAGTCAGTTCACGGGTTGCAAAACCAGAACTGCCTTGAGCCTGCGGCACTTTAGCGATAGAAGGGAGTTCCTTTCAGTCTGGAAGGCCGTGTACCCAAGGCCACAGTAAGGCCCGTCCTACTCTATGGTAGTGAGACTTGGCCCCCTCGGTTTGAAGATCTGAGGCGCCTTCAAGTATTTGCTCATCGTTGTCTGCGGAGCATTGCTAGTGGCGGGTGACACCAGCGTGTCCGCAATTTTGGTGTGCGTAGGCGAGCACTAGGTGGTGATAATCATGCTTGCTCCCTAGAACAACAGCTAGCACTGAATAAGTTGCATTCGCTCGGGCACATGTTACATATGCCTGGTCACCTCTTACCTAGATGGGCCTTGTTTAATCTGCTCGATGTTGGATGGCGCAAGGCTCGAGGTGGACAGAAGCTGACTTGGCAGCGTGAAATGAAGTCAGTGACGACCAAACTGGGTGCCGTCGGTTCGTCTCACATTCCGGGCTGGAGGCCACGTGACTCACCTTGTGCTTGGCTCGAGGTTTTACAAGACATGGCTCACAGCCGATTTCAGTGGCGCGTCTGCTGCCTTCTCCTAATCGGATTGCCTGTTTAAATTGTGTTTGGTGCTGAGTTATCTGCGGGGTAATGGCTGATTATGACGCGTGGCAGTGAAAGCCGTAAGGAGGCTGTCTCGCGGATGCCGCCTTATTTTTGCACGATAGCCAGCTGTTTGTGATGGTATGTTGTTAACACAAGGTGTAGATGCCTTGACCGTTAATGTTTGCTTAGGGCAATAAAGTTTTCAAGTAAATCATGCTTCTCCCTCGCTCTCTTATTCTTCTTTATTCCGTGGGTCATCATGGTTGTATGGCAGCGAGGCATCTGTTCAAGTGGATGATGTACTGTTGTTTTTGATAATGATGTTGATTTTCTTGGTG